CTCCTCGATAGACTGCAGGACTCCTCGGTATACATTGACGGCTTCTACCCATTCCTCCTTAATGATATGTACTCCAGCCAAGCCGTTCATGGAAGCAACAAGTAATCGGTGGGCCTCCTCAGACTCCAGCTTAGTCTTCTTGATGAGGTTGTCAAGAAGCATCTCCATTGTCATCGTCTTGCGGTTTATGGACATGAACTGGCCTTTCACAACCTGCAGGTGGAAGGGAGATAATGTAAAGAAAAGCAATTCTCTATAGTTAATATCTGTAACTAAAAGCCAAGTACAAGCTCAAATATTATGACAATATTCAATTTAACAATATTTCTTGGTTTGGTGACTACCAAAGCCCATAGAATGTCTGAAAGGCTTAACCGAGGTGTTTTGAAAGACCTCAAAGTACAATCAACATAGTTTACCTGAGGATGATTACAAGCCTGACGCAGCTTGAGCAGAGGGTGAAGGAGGGAGCTCAGTGTTTGTCGGTCAAGGTCACTCAGCTTGGTCTTGGGGTCTGAGAATTTTTTCAGTCTCTGCTGTGCGTCATACGAACACTCGGCATGCAACCGCTGATAGAAGTGCTCCTCCACACGCGTGAACGTCAGCCAATGGATCTGCAGTAGTTTGGTTTGGGTTACAAGAACAATAAACTACCAACCTGAAGTCAGTTACCTCATCAATATTATCAAAATCATTATTCCAAACAGAATACAATATCAGCACTAATAAAATAAGATAAAAAGTCCTCTGGAAAGCATAACATCTCTATTTCTTCTGTCTGGAAAATAGAGAAGAGACGAGAGAAGAGAGAGAAAGAAAAGGAATAACAAAATACTACAACAGCTAACCAAAACACGAGACCCCTACCTCTTCCATCTGCTTGGGGATGTCGATCTGGTGAATGACGTCCTTCTTGGCATTGCGCCAGAGGTACTGTGACACCAGGTTGTGGAGGGGTTCCTTCTGGTGGTGGCAGTAGGGTACGTAGAGACAGCGGTGCCACCACTGTGCCACGCCGTACGGATCTACACCGAGGAACATCAACAATCCCTAATCAAGATTGGCAGAGTGTATTCCAGTTAGTTAGATTGTCGAAGGCTTTATCAAAAGAAGTAAATTAATAAACAAATAAATAAAATGTATGCAAAAAAAGATAACAAAAGATTATTTTTTTAATGTTGCCAGCAAGGCATTGGAATTCTTTCCTTCTGAGAAGTGGTTGACTTGCCCATTTGAAAATCCAATTTCAAGTTTGCAGTTTCAAACTAAGCAAAGAAAAGAAAGAAAGAAGGAATAAGAAAAAAAAAAAAAAAAAAAAAAAAAAAAAAAAATCAAGCTAGCAAATCAACATTTCTCTTACACACACACACACACACACACACACACACACACACACGCACACACACACACACAAAAAAAAAAAGAAAAAAAGAAAAAAGAATGAGAAAACATGATATAAAATACTAATTACAAATACAAAAATCACAAAAATTATTTCAAAATGATATACACTAATTGTAAAAAAAAAAATAAAAAATAATAATATGACAATAATAGATAATAATAGCAATAATAAACAATAATAATATTAAATAACAAAAACAAGTTAAATAACGGCAACGCAAACCATTTCCAAGAAATCAAATATAAAGATCATAATCGTACTCATAACAAAAAATACAAACAAATAGTCATGGAATCTTCAATTATAAAATGAAACTTATACAAATAAAAGTAAGAGCAACAAAAATAAAAACAAACAAAAATTATCGATAAAAATTCCTACACACCTGCAAGTCGTTAACACTCTTCTGGACAGGCGTTCCCGTGACACACCACCTGTTGATGGCTGCAAGTCGGAGCGCCATCTCGGCCGTTTTGGTGGTGGTGCACTCGACCATCTGTGCCTCGTCCAAGCAAACACGCCACCATTCGACACAGGGGAGCGGCGAAGGAGTGGCCATGAAGCGCTTGGGATGGCGGAACCTGGGGGAATGAGAGAGACAGATAAAGGATGAGTGAATAAATGAATGAAGGATGAGAAGAAGTGATGCAGGTAGAAGAGGGAGACATGTTAGTGAAGAGTAATGATTAATGTAATACCTTTTAACTTTGCAATGAATTCTGTAATGCTATAAATATAAATATTGATATATCAATAATCTAGAGCAAATAAATAATAATAATCTTAGTAATCATAATTATTATGATATCAATCTCAACAATTACTTTTTAAAACACAAAAAGCAACTAACACAAGATGCACACACACAACACACACACACACACACACACACACACACACACACACGCACACAAACACAGACACGCAGACACAGAAACAGACACACGCACACAGACACAGAACCGCACACACACACACACACAGACAGACAGACTGACACACACACACACACACACACACACACACACACACACACACACACACACACACAGACACACACACACACACAGACAGACAGACAGACACACACACACTCACACACACAAACCCTCTCCTCTCCCCCCTCACGGCTCACACCTCCGTCCCATCTCGCTGTTGCTGTGAGGTAGATCCACATAATTGAGTTCCTGCCGCAGTGTTTCGTAGGTGGTGATGACAATGTCGAAGTTGCCCAGGAAGCGTGGCTGCATGTAGCCCTGGGTCGCCACGCCCTTGTACACCAGCATGCGCAGCGCCTTGTTCTTCAGGTGCTTCATGATCTCGTCCACCCACTTTTGATGGAAAGGGAAGTAATATGATTAAGTGAAAACAAGAAAAGGATAAATGACTTGAAGAGGGTTATGGTATAGGGTATGTTAATTAATCTATCTATCAAGTAAATCCATAAATACCAGTAAGGAATAATACCATAATCTAAAAATTCAGTTCTGATTCAGAAAGAAAAACAAGGGAAGAGAAAAAGTGGGAGAAGAAATGTCATGAGCAGAAGGCAGTGGATGGAAGGAGGACAAAGAGGAAGGAGAGGAGAAGGAAGAGGAGATTGAGAAAAAGGAGATAAAAGAAAAAGATGTAATTAGAGACAAGAACTGAAGAAAAAGACCAAAACAAAAACAATGAAGACAAACCAAAAAAATATAAATAGCCAATAAAATCAAGACTATATTCACCTGTACTGATCCAATTTGATTTGCAAAGGCTATGAATTTATGAAATAATCAGAGAAACTTCTCCATGATGTCCATAAGCAAAACTATCCCTATTACTTCTAAAATTCATATCTAATATCAACAAAATCTTTACCTGGTAACTGATAGATGATGGTGTGACAATGAGTGTTGCTTCAGACACGACTGGTGTCTCTTGCGTCCAGCAATGGGGGCAGATATAGACGCCTCGGTATGGGTCAGAAACGTCAAACTGCACACACTCTGCATGCTGCCATAAGCTGCACACGGAGCACTGCACACGGAACTTCTCATCGCGGTTTTCTGCTGTGGTGGAGCCACAGATACACTCAAAGTAACTCTTCTGCTCCACTTTGAGGTCAAAGAAGCCCTGAATGGCTCGCTTAGACACGAAACCCACTGCACTATACTCTGCTATACTGTTCTTGTACTGAGCTTGAAGCCTCTCTTTGAGGGACATCATATGATATGGGTCCTTCTTTTTCATTTTCAAGTATTTGCGGAAGTCCTTATAAGAGCCTTCCTTTTTGTACTCTTTGGCTTTGCCTTCCCAGCACTCATTGATAATCACCGACTCAATACTGGACCAGTGAGTGTCCTCACTAATTTCCTGTTCTGGGTTGTATGCAGGAGCTTTTTCATAGAAGGTGACTTGGTTGACACGAGTTTCTTCTCCGGTGGTTTGTAGTCATCCTCATCCTCTGAGTCCACATCATAGTCTGCATATGCACCAGTCGATCTCGCAGCGCGCCTTTTGGGTCGACCGCTTCTACTAGTTTCCTCCTCCTCCTGATCTTCTTCCTCCTCTTTCACCTTCTTCGGAATGTGAACCTTGATGTGACTCTGACGTTTCCTTGCTGCCCTTCCCTTGCCTCGCTTTGCAGGTGTTTCTTCCTTCTCTTCACTTGGGGACTTGTTACAACTCAACTCTATATGGCTTTTGCTGTCAATGGCATTATCTTCATCCTCATTTTCTTCTTGGTGGAGCGTGTACACATCACCAGCAACATCTTTTTTGGCCGACTTCCTCTTTCTGCTCTGCTCAACCCTCACTGGCTCTTGATACTCTGGCTTGGGGACTTCTTTCCTTGGATGGTTCAGGATGCATGAGAGCACTTCCACTGTTTTTCCCAAACCCATTTCATCTGCTAGGATTCCTCCTGGGGAAGGAGCCACAGCCAAGGGCTTATCCTTCACAATGAAACCCCCATACCTGTTATAGTACAACTCAGTGCCATCCTCGCATTTAATCTCTGTAAACAAACAGTGGAGCTCCCATTCATCCTTCTGTTTGTCACCTCCATAGTTTTCTTGGTGCAGCATCCAACGAACAGCTGCCTTCTGATAGGGACGCAACTGGGGAATCAAGCTAGAGTGCTGCACATCAAGGTCTACGTATTCAATGTTGTTGTGGTATTCTTTCACAGCTTTGTACAAAACCTCTGTGTCATGTTTGAGCTTCATTTCTCCAGTGAAAGAAAATGGAAGTATATTGAAAAAAATGAGAGATATACTTTCCCTAAAGCATCACTGCACTGGACACTGTCACTTGCATATTTGAGATTTGTGAGTCCTGCCTTCTTAAAATAAATGTTCAGGGTCATTTCTGACATCACATCATCAAAATCACTCAACTCAAGATCAAAATACCTCTGCTTTGACACTCCCTCCCAAAGATCTATATCCAAAAGGCCATCTATCATGAAATATCGGAAGGCATTGGCTTTCTTCCTCTGTTTGGCCTTCCCTGTTGATTCGTCTGAATTCCACTCAAAGTAAATTGCACTTTTGTCGCATTCACACTGACATACAACCCAAAATTCAGGGCTTGGTATCTGCAATATCTTCCT